TCTTCATTCAAGCCTCTCTGTTGAAAGTTTACTTCCTTGAGACTTTCCTTGACCAATCTAATTCAGGTCCCCACCTCTACCATTCCCCATGCTCAATTTCGTTACCCTGTGTATTGACTTTATAGCACTGATCATTAAGGTACCTTTATTTACTATCTATTTTTATTGAAAGTAGTCATGTGCAGAAGTAGATTTCCATATTTATTATCTTTTGCTAAGTAAGCTCCACACCCAACATGGGGTTTGAACTCACAATCCTGAGATCAAGAGTCACATGCTCCACCAACTGAGCCAGCCAGCCACCCCACACTTGCTATTTCTTAAATATTTTTTTTAAATGTTTATTTTTGAGAGGGAGAGAGAGCGAGAGACAGAGCACAAGTAGGGGAGGGGCCGAGAGTGAGGGAGACACAATCTGAAGCAGGCTCCAGGCTCTGAGCTGTCAGCACAGAGCCTGATGCGGGGCTTGAACCCATGAACCAGGAGATCATGACCTGAGCTGAAGTCTGGTGCTTAGCCGACTGAGCCCCCCAGGTGCCCCACACTTACTATTTCTTAAGGGAAACAGGAAAAGTGGGATGGAATCATATGCTGAAAAGTCTTGAATTCCCCTTGAGGGGTTTTATTTAGTTTGCTAGATTCTGCAGAGCCACAAATGTTTGAAGTACTTCAGTGACCTGTCAAGTGTTCTAAAATATTTGTTTCGTTAGGTGTTATAAAATGTAATTACTCCACAATGCTCTGATCCTATACTCAGTGAGACACTGTTCGCTGTAACTGGCTTAACTACACAGAACATTACTAAACAAATGAAGTGAATGACAAGACTATAACAAAGTCTAGACATAATCTGAAACTAATTTGATGCCTTTAACTAGTTTTGGAATACAATTGTACAGTTGGTCCAATCTCCTTTATCCAAACTCCTCTTCATTTCAGTGTGGGAGGCATACAGAATCAGAGGTCATGTAATTTTAAAAGTAGGATCAAACTGTAGCAGGGCCAAGTCATTTACATACTCAGTGGCGCAGTTGTGTCCATAACTTTATGCCAAACCACTGGTGGACCCCACTGCAGTGGAACCAGACTTTGGCTAATGGGAATACTTTAAAGATGGATTATATCGAGCTCTTCCAGTAAGATTTGGGCATGGAAAGGTCTTTGGATCATTGAATTTAATTCCACTATACCTTATAGAGAATGAGGGTCAGATTTTGGAACACCTCAATGAATAAGACACATTCCTTTCCTTTAAGGAAGATGAAATCTAATTTAGCTCTGAGTATGAAGTACAATTAAGTGAATTGCATAATTTTATACAAAGACCAATAGAGATTGTTCTAAAGTGACTCCTATTGTCCTTGTATCTGCCAACCTATGAAATGTTTGTGTGGGTTTTTGTTTTTTCCCTCCTGTTCTCTGTTTTTCCAGGGATAAATAACTTTTTAAACACAAGGTATGTATAAATATAAAGTTTATTTAGCATAGTGTTTAGAAAAATAAGTTCACATCATTTCAGAAAACAAATAAAACACTTAATTGTCCAGGCATAAACCCCTATTACAGTACAACATACATACTTTAGATCTCTTTGGTTGGGTAATTAAGCACAGAAATGTTCTGGGACATGCTCTGTGTGCCATCACCTAACAGTGCAGTAGAGATTCTGTTACCCCACCCCATGATATACATTCTGTATAGATTTTCTCTTTGTGTAAGGCACAGTAAAACCATATTGAGTATATAACTGGTCTCCTCTAAACATACAGTACATGCAACAAAAGAACAAAAATTGAGAACCCTGAAAGCCAAGAGAGTCACATGCTACATAATTTTGATTAATAAAATGTACTGTGATATTAAATTAACATGAAATGTATCAACTAGATACAAAGTAACTGTTAGGCTCTATCATCTAAGTTCTAGGAAGACTTTGAAACATCTTTTGTAAAATGTAATTCTTTTCCCCACAAATTTCCTGAATTATTTATGTTTTTCTGATGAGATGATCTGTCAAAAACATTGTAAAAGAATGAAGAACTTCTGGCTATGTACTAATGCACACTTGCCTAACATGTAGCAGGGCAGGCTTCAACACATGCCCAGTAATCCAACTTTTGACATGCAAAATGCAAGGGCATATACAGGGAGACTTAAGGTCAGTGTGCAATTTAACTACGAATTTTTATCTATGGCTATAACGTCTACCTGCCTTTCATAACACAAGAAAGGCACTGAAACGTGTACAATTCAGTCTTTTCATTACTATAAATATACATGAGCTATAAAACACTACAACACAGGTGTTCTTGCTTGATTGAGGAACAAATGCACCTTCTCTTTAATTGATAAAACTGGTCTTTACTAGATGTAACTAAGAACTAAATGCCAAATTCTGGCGGATAGAGTGCATAGATAGCCTCACACCAAAAATCCCACAGCCAGCAGCAGGGGTTGGGGTTTGCAGGGAGAGTTTTTACCCTTATTCTGATTCCTCTTTGGGGATCATTTGAGGGTCATTTGCAGCATCTTCAAGCATTGGTTTATGTAAGAGAAATTCTGCCACATGAACTCCAAGGGTTCTGAGACTGGCCCTTGGTATTGCAAAAAACATTTGCAATTCTGTGCAAGGAGATCATGGGGTTTATCTTATTTCATTCACATATGTATGGGCTATACACCAACTGGCCCTTATTTTACTGAAGTATAGAAAAGAACAATAAGTTCTTTATAATGTGCATTGATTCTTACCTGGTATATTGTGTAGCTACCTGGAGTAATTGTAGGGGTATAATTACATCAAGTTGGGAATATGAATGGGTTTCCTAGGTAAGTCTTAAGTTTTGTGCTATTTTTCCTTTTTCTTAAGGGAAAAAAAGAGGAAGAACTGTGAATAAAACAGAGGCTTATTATATTTTTGGAAGACATATGAAACTTTTCCAGTTATATATAAAATATATATAACTTTTTAAACCTTCCCATCTCCCTGATTAGATGGGTATTTTAAAATAATGAACAGAAAATTCTTAATATCTGCAGCCATCAAGTGGAAAAACATCATTTTCATGTAAACTACACTACAGAACCATATAATTAATCTCAGTAACATGATCAGCACACACTTAAAGAAAAAAACAAGCTGTATAAGTAGTGATGGAGTGGAAGAGAACTCGAAAACACCTGACTTTGTAAAAAAAAAAAAAAAAAGAAGACAACTGTAGTTTCAGCAGTTTAAGAACATTCACTAATTCCATAAAGAAGGTGGGATCTGAGTTCTCTAACGAAACAATTGGATAGGGCTCTTCATCTATGCCTGCAAGTTCCATTTGCAATAACAACCAAGGGTAAGTAATCTACGGCCCTTATGCCACATGCTCAGCAGATGGGCACGTAGAGATCAAGAGTACACTCTTCATTCTGATCTTGAAGACAGCAAGATTGGTAATATCTTTTATGTTCAACAACTTTAAGTCATCTCTGAAGAGATCATTTTCTCACATTTCTTGCTTTGCACACACCAGAGACTTTACTCGCTACATAAATTTGCATCTTGTGCTCAGTCCTGATAAAACCTATAACCACAGCTCACAACATGATCAAGCAAGCTTCTTAAAGAAACCCCAAAAGATCGACCTTTGAACAAGACATGATAATATAGTGCAAATAATAGTCGTATGTCATAATGTAACAACTGATTCAAAACATGTAGAACTAAGTTTCACCAGGACAGAATTTTGCTCAAGAGAACTTGCGTATTCTTTGTTTAGTTTAAAATGGTTTTTATAGTCTACAGAATTCATTTTACATGGTATTCTAGGATTGGTATTTCATTGTAATGAAAAGCATCAACAATAATTAGTTGTTCATAAATTTACACCATAAACGTACATAATCACATAAGTGAAACTTAAGTTCTTCAGATTTAAAGCAACTTTGTGGTGAAAATAACCCTGTTAGATAGAAAGAGCCATCAGTGCTTCTGTTGACACTTCTGTACCTTAGTAAGAATAATAAAAAGGCCACAAGGTAAAAAGGCACATAGAATTCTATAGAAAAAATATTTAAATGAATCAGAGAGTTGCTAAATAAAGAACAAGATGTGAAAAAAAGTACCAAAATTCCAATATTGGGAGTTAGATTGCCTGTTTCAGTGTTATTAATAATGACCCTAATAGACTCCTGATAAAAATCATTACTTTTAAAATCCTACAAAAAGTAAAACTTTGTTGGAAATAACTATGTTCACTTCCTGTTCAAACAATAAAAATAAATTAAACAGTAAGAAAACATTTTTTCAGTTCATAGTGTCTGAAGTAGAAGAGAAACATATACAGCATAAATAAAATTCACTGTAATTCCTCAAATCCTTGCTTATAGGACTAATATATTTACACTCATACTGAAGTTTGTTTCAGAGTTTTTAGTGGAGTTGCAAACTTTCTCAGCCCCACTGGACTATTAGCAAGCACATTTGGAAATGTGTAGAGACAAACCAAGACTTTCACAAAAGTATTGAAAAACAGAAATGTATATATTCAAAAAATAAACCCTTAGAATAGTATGGAGTACCATGTATGCTTCTTAACCTCATCAATGCCCGTGGAGTGAAAGTAAACAAAAATAACCGTACTGTTTCTAATGCCGATGTCAGGTGGACACAGTTTTAAAGAACTATCAAGTTCCATTTAACCTTAGAGTTATATTAAGTCAGCCAAATGACACACTTTGACTTGATATATTTCATCTTGTTCCTTTGTCTCCATCTATTTAAAAGAGAACATATGTGAACAAAAAGGCTGCAGCAACGCAGTTCTACTCCTGTATATTTAACTGTGATCTTCATGCAGATCAATCCAAAGTCTCTTGAATTCATTTACTCACAAAACTAGTGTTTTCCCTGTAAATGGGAAAATGCCTTATGTCCTCAGGGCTTCGTGAAAAGATCTGCCTGCTGATGCCAAAAAAAAAAAAAAAAAGAGAGAGAAAGAGAGAAATCAAGTTTATAAGTCTTGCATATCTTCATCCAATTGGACGGTTTGGAGCTTGGCAAGCTCTTTTTTGTCTGTTTCCAGGTCTTCACAGACAGTCTCAACCATGCCCTCTAGGACATACTTGGATTTTGAGTCCAGCATCATTAAGTTGCTTGTGGCTTTGCCCTCAGAATTTGTTAAGAAATTCTCTTTTATATTAGCTACTGATTGCAGAACTAAACGATGTTCTCTGACGAAATCCTGGTGTACTGCTGGGGAGGGGTGACCCACCTGGTCCTCAGCTGTAGGAACAATTTCCCCAAGGGCACCCTGGGTCATAGGGACTGACAATAGATCTTGACCAGTAATAAGGGAGCAGTTCTGAAGAGTTGCATAGTTAGTGTTGCTGACAGATGTCACAGTAGATTTGCTTGCCACAGGTGCAGACATTGGCTGGCTATCAGCAATGTCAGGGTTTAGCTCGGTGGGATTTAGCAAGGTAGGGGGAGTCAGGGAAAAATTGTGAGTTGGGGATACATTAACTAATGAGGAGGCCAGGGGATGGAGGCCACTCCCCGAGATATTTTCAGAAGACAGGTTTGCATTTATTTGTGCATTCTGATTGACAGGCATCAACTGAGAAAATACCAGGCTCCTCTCCAAGCCCTCCTGTTTAACAGATCCTATAGTCTGGCCTGAATTAGGGACAGTGTATACCACTGCACTGGGAGCAAGAGAGCTCAAGAAAACCTTTCCTTGCTGGACTGTGGTGGACTCACTTGTAAATGTGCTCCCATCTGAAGTGCTTGAATTTACTGAAATGTTGCCTAAAAAAAAAAAAAAAAAAAAAAAAAAAAAAAAGAAAAGAAAGTACAGATTATCGCTGATAGAACTGATAGGGAAAGAAAAAAAGACTTTTTGACACACACGATTTTTCTCAGGTTCAGTAGAATCACCTTGAGCACTCAAAACTACAGATTCCCAGGCTCTACTGAGACTCTGACTCAGTGAGTCTGAGAACAGGTGTATTTCAAATTCCCTAGTAATGCTGATGACATAGTGGGAGTGAGAAGTACTGGTTTAGAAACAAAGTATGAAAAAAAATGTTTTTCCAAGTTCTAATTTCAGTCAAGTTTCCGGTTCATTATTACCAACTTGATTTCTCTCAATCAGTTGATAGTTGTAGCCAGTTCTGCCAGTTAGAACTAGGAAACACAAATGCAAAATAAAATGCCTTTGTTTGGAACAAGTTCAGTAACTGACATAAATGGAAAAGTAGAAAATAGCCATAAAATGAGTTGCCCTGGGGCTTGAAGTTAACCATATAAACCCGTACAGACACGTTGCAAACTTTCACCAAACTAACCATAAAGTAATATCAAGTCAACAGAACGTTCAAGAGTTCTTTTTTCTTTTGTTATGCCAGTTCTGAATTTTCAGTGTTGCAGTTGATAGGAAGAATTAATGATAATAATAAACTGTACTTTTAAAAACACAGATTAATGTGAATAACTAGAGTCAATGCTTCTCTGAAACGTTTATATCTTAAGGCTCTCACTAGAATGGTCTACAGAGACCAGGAACAGGAAAAAACCAAACCAAAACAAAAGACCCCCAGAAACATAAGTAGAATGCTGAGAAGTTCAAAATCAGGTAACTCAGACAATGCAGACGAATTAGAGCCTTCCCCTCCCTCCTATCATCAAATAAAACCCTTTTCTTTTGGAGTCTTTACATAGACCCAGTGAAATGATGGCAATTATCTTGCCACTGTAAGAAAGGTAGACTTGAGGGAATTTTGTGACAGGATTATTCAGATGGGTTGTTTACCCTGATCTTGAATTAGACGTTCAGTAAATTATTATTTTGAGAAGATAGCCCAACGTTAAAAGTAATTCTCCCAAAACATTTCTCTTCTTGAATTAGAATAATTGTGATTATATTACTACCTGTATTGATAAATAAATGTTACTGGGTTGTTTTTTTATATCTTCCACTTTTTAAGCACCTTAAATGCAAAGGAATATCTTCAAACAAACTAAAACTGTATTTAAACTTTAAATTAAATGTAACCACTAGAAAGTATTCGTCACGGAAATACTGGTGTTAAAAAAAAAAAAAACATTTTTATGTATGTTTGGGTTCTTCCCTAACATGAATGTTTGTTCCAGGCCAAACAAATGAAATTAATCTGACTTAAGTATACTTTAAAATTCTTGTTGGCTGCTAAACTGTAACAAAAAACATCTGAAATAGATGTTTATTTTGTTATATGTATATATTTGTGAAATTGTTTGCCTGTGTATAGGTGAACAAAACGATAGTTATTTTTTGAGAGAACCATATATGATATGATAGGACATTTCCCCCAACAGCTATTAAATATAAATAAAACAATATCTTTGAATGTGTAGAAATTATAACACACATAAATGAAGGAGGAAAAGCAGATGTGATCTAAAACTTGATATGTAAGTATAACTGCACTTGAATTATAATAAATTTAATAATAATTTCAAAATGAGTTTAAAAAATTCAAATGAAACAGGACATAGGTGCAAAGTATAACTTTGTAATGATGGTAAGGGAAAAAAAAACACCCTTGTTTTCTCAGATTATGAAGTGAGTAAAAGATACAGATATTCTGCTTTTCCATATAAATCCTAACTACTAAAAGATAATCTATCATGTCTACACATTTTAAGGCAAGGCTGAGTATCTGTTTTTGAGAAAGGCTGAATCCCCACATGCTTTAAAGAGAATTGCAGTCCACCATTGCTATAAAGGAACGCTGCTTCCTGGACCCATCTGGTTAAACTTATGCCTTTAACTCACCCAGACAGTGCAAGGATTGACAGCTATGTCATTTGATCTTAGCTATTTTAACTGAAAATGCTTCTTCTTATTCATATTAAATGTCCCATTTTAAAAATTAGCTATTAGTTTGTAATAATTTTCTGTGGTAGCATATTTCTAGATTACACGTGGAAAGTATTTCTGCTTTTCTTCTCCCCCAATGTACATACCACAGTTTTTGCTCCAACTTTTTGTCTTTAAACTGTTATCTACTGTTTGGAAATTTCCTAAAGAGAGAAGAAACCCTGTGGTTTCTTATATTTTTGTTGGAAAGTGATTTAACTTTAATCCTTTCCATAACTTGAAACAACGAAGAAATACACGGTATGCTGCAGGAGTTTTGTGTTTTCCTACCATTTTACCTGAGAATTGATGTGAGAGAAAGTTACTCAACACTTTTTCCATTAATGCCTCAAATAAGCTGAAGTGGGTCATAGTTGTGCATAAATTGAGATTTTTTTGATAAAGCCATTTTACAGGAAGTTGATCTTTAAAGGGAGACAGTTACTTATTTTGCTTTGATAGAAATCTGGACATTCAGATTTGCTTACAGGAAGGCAAACCTGCATTCACATCCCCCACTCCTAAGTTTAAGGCACTATGCAACCTCCATGGCCATTCTCACCATTCGTGTTTCTATGTACAAAAAATGACACAGAGCCATCCAGACTTGCTTCAAGTCAGTGAAGAAGTGGCATAACAGCCTCAGGCTTCCTGAATTCCAGATCAGTGTTCTTCAGCAAACTGCCTTTAGCAAAACCACAAACACATAAAATAAGGCTAACCCACACATTTGGTGGGGGGGGGGGGGGGAGGGAGGGAGAGTATACATGCAGAGCAACAGACACCCTATCACATACTCATCTGGTTTTCCTTTAGGTCTGATAGTTTTAATTATAGGAGGAACATGGATCAAACACAATTGATCCAGTCTTTTTAGCTTGCTCTTCTAAAACACTCCTTGGTCAGATAGAAAATGCTTAGGTAAAGTGTACACATTCGTACCAACTGCTTGACGAATTTTGTGTTCTTAGCAATATTATTAATTTTTAATCTTAAAATGTCAAGCAATGGGTTATTTTGTAAGCACCAACTGACTTATCATATTTCTCTAATTGTAGAACTGGCAAGATTTGCTATGAACTGTATTTTTCCATTCAGATGTTAGGAAAATAAAAGCCCATCTCCATGATGCCAGGGAACCAACCAGACTGGATATTACATGGGTGTTGTGAAGAAGGAGAAACAAATCAAGGCTCTTCTGCAGCTGTGGCAGCCAATAAGGTACGTGAACAGTAACATCAATCTACAGCTCTCACCAAATGTGTCATTTACAGCAGCTGGCTAAAACATTCACTAGTGCATTATGGTACCGAATGAGACTTTTACCTTGAGAAGCTGCTACTGAAACAGAAGGCAGCTGCAGTGGAGAGAATCCAATGCTCCCATTAAGGAACTGGCTGTTTGCTCCGGAATTGGGGATCTGGACAATGCCATACTGGTTAATTTGCACTGGTGTAGTAAAAGTCACCACAGAGCCTCCATCTTGGGAAGCCACTGTTTGAATGCCTTCTCTTTTTACCTCAGTGCTGGGTATCAGCCCTGGGAATGACACAGGGGCACTGGGGCTGTAGGAAGTGGTGGCTGCGGAGTTAGCTGAAGAACTCTGGAGGACTTTGAATTCCTTCACATCCTGGGAGGTAGACCCCAGTATGTCACTCATGGATATACCATTGCTCACAATGTTTGATGCAATTTTTGGTGGGTTCAGTGACACTGTCTGTGTATTTCCCACATTTAATCCATTAAGGATAACTCCATTGGGTCCCTGAATGAAAGAATTACCATTAAGAAAGACAGGTGAAGTACTTGGTACCAAGCTTCCATTCAACAAAACTCCAGAAGAGCTTAATGATATCTTAGCATTTCCAATTTGCTGCATATACACTGGTTCCATGTGACTGGAAAGGCTGAGGTTGGTGACACTATCCGATGAACTGGAGAGTGGATGAGGAGACAAGTCCTCATGGCCCTTGCTGGATTCATCTTCAGTGCTGGGATTGCCATCTGACTCACTGCAGAGAAGGGGAAATCAAGACATTCAGAAGGTCAGAGGGATGACATTCTACCTAGTGCCATTTGTTTAGAAAACCAACCTCTAACCCCATTAAAGGTAATATTTTAGGAAAGCAGAGCAGGAAGTCTTTAGTCTTGTTTAAGTTATGAGGCCTTTCAGCAGATTCTTTTTTTTTTTTTTAATGTTTATTTATTTTTGAGACAGAGAGAGACAGAGCATGAATGGGGGAGGGTCAGAGAGAGGGAGACACAGAATCTGAAACAGGCTCCAGGCTCTGAGCGGTCAGCACAGAGCCGGACGCGGGGCTCGAACTCACGGAGTGTGAGATCGTGACCTGAGCCGAAGTCGGCCGCTTAACCGACTGAGCCACCCAGGCGCCCCATCAGCGGATTCTAACCATAAAGACAGAGAACGTGGGAAGATAAACTCTCCTATCCCAATCATTTTACCAATAATAAATTCAGGGAAAGTCCAGAGATCTGTAAGATGTAAATTCAGCTAACAGGATTTTCATAAGAATTATATATACGTTTTCATAGCACTGAAGTTATTCCTTCCTGTTAAATTATGCTGCTACCTATACCACAGGGGGGGGAAAAACCTCACTAGATGAGGCGGTCAGTCTTTCCTGTTAGGAACGCCTTCCCCTCCCTTCAAACCAATTCCGATTAGTGTGATTTTGGAAGTAAATGAAACTGCCGAAGGAGCAGGAGGTGGGAAGTGTTCAGTTTTGTTTGCCAGTTAGTTAACAAGAGATCATTTTCTCACCTGCTCCCAAACTTCTACTCCACCAGACTGACAACTCTCTCATTCAACAAAGTGGCTGTCCTTGATGTAGGAAAGGCACTTTCAACCCAAGAACTGTTATGTGCAGTCGCCTTTGAATCCAAAAGAAGCCATAGGGGCCTATTTAACATACACCATCCAGTGCCCTGGTGAGGTGGGAGGGAAAGGGTGTGGGTCACTCAGCAGCCTTGTAACCATCAGACCCCTTCCCCAGCACCCTCAGTCCTTCTGCTCCAGACAGGACTGGGTTCCTCAGCTCCCCGACTTGGGAGGAAACGCCAAATCCGGGTGAAGGGTGGTGATAGGGTTTCCCATTTGGACTGAGGCTGGGCGAGGGGGGGGGGGGGGGGAGAAAGGGGCAGTTAGCTGCAGTTTGGAAGCTTGGTGCGACTTGGCCCTGTAGAGGATCCCCCATCCCTGCAGTGCCCGGCGGTCGGTTCGCTTTCATGCGGAGGGGAGGGGATTACCCGGGCTTTGGGCTGCGGGGCCAGGAGCGCAGAAAGCGCTTTGATTTACGAGCTGAGGCTGAGCCGCCGTCGCCGTCTGCGAGGGTGACTCACCAGGGGTGCGGGTGGGAGGTAGATCCGGAGAGGGGCCTAAACCAGGCAACTGGGCCGGGGGCGGGGGTGTGGGGTTGGGGGGGGGGGGAGGCGCGCAGCCGGCAGAGTGCGGCTGGGGAGAGGAACGCGCCCAGCCGGGGAGCGCAGGCTGCAGGGCAGCTGGCCTGAGCGCCACGCCCGCTCCCCACCCCCTGCCTCTGGCCCCGAGGATTCCGACGGGGCTCCAAGCGACGGGATCCGCGGCCACAAGCAGGCGCGGGGTCACCAACGTGCCTCCTCTGGGTGTCCCCGCCAGTCTGCGGAAGGATGCACGCAGGTCGCAGTGCGCGTTTTGTTTTGGTTACCGGGAGGCACGGCTCGGACACAGCGCCTCCCTCCCTGCTTGGGCTCCAGAGCCGTCGGGCCCCGGCGGGGGTGCAGGGACAGGAGCGGCAAGGGCGGGCCGCGGCGGGTGATCACCTTCGCTCGGCCGGGGCGGGCTTCCCGGCTCCCAAATTCCTTCCCTGGGCAGAACCTTCGAGCTGCTTTGGGTTCTTTCTGTCTTATGCCCGCGTGGCTTGGAGACACCATCTCTCCAGGCGACCTTCTCCTTAGTTCGCTCAACAATACACAAAACACTCCAGGTGTCTGACTCGAAAGGACGCACAATAGAGGTGGAAAACCCGATCTTTCCCACCAGTTGGGGTCAAAAACCCTGCCAGTCAAAAAGTTGAAACCCGCCAGGGTGGGCGCTGAAGGAGGTGTGGAGCTGATAGCGCCCCCACCCCTAACCGCTGTCCCAGGAGGGAGCCACGCAGGGTTGGGGGGCCGAGGAAGCAAGCCCTCCAGCCCCACTGCCCCGGCGGC